GCTCCGGGGAGGGGGGAGGGAGAGGAGTGTTCTTGGTTGAGGCCAGAGTGGCCACCAGAGCACCCTGGGAAGGGCTGGAGGCCCCCTATTTTGAAATAGGTGTCTACACAGCACTTATTTTGAAATAGAAATTTCGAAATTGGCATTATTCCTCATGGAATGAGGTTTACCAATTTCGAAATAAGCCTTCCACTATTTCAACTTAATTTCAAAATAGTGGTTGGCTTGTGTAGACGCTTAGAAAGTTATTTTGAAATAACAGCTGTTATTTCGAAATTACTTTGATGTGTAGACATACCCGTAGTTAGTAGCAGTGACAGTTCTCCTCACTTCCTTCCCTCCTGGGGGGATGCCTGGCCTGCACGGCTTCAAGCCTTATTTGCAGTGCTTGAAACTCATGCCCTGGGGTGAGCCCCACAATGCTTGCCTACAGTGACTGGGGGAAGGGCATCTTGCAGATAGCTTCAAGATTTGTAGGGGCTTTAAGCCCAGAACAAAAAGGGAGAGAGACTCCAGGTTGAAGCTGCTACTTATGGAGTTGGCTCTCCAGCCTCCAGCACTGGACCTGCCTCCTTTGGTTCGCAGAACACCAGGGTTGGTGTGGGAGTCGGTGAGCACAGTGAGGCCTTTGATGGCACTGAGTGCTGGTACCGCTTCACGGCACTGATCTCAGTCTCTGGTGCAGAAGAAAAAGACCCACAGAGGCGGGTCCCCGTCTCGCCATGGACACAGAGTGCATCCACAGACAGGACACTCTGGAGCCCACATACTGCTACCTCCTTCTGTTTGGCACTGGAGGAAATGAAAGTCACGCCACAGCACCAGATATGGCACCGATTGACCTCAGAATACTCATCTGAATCTGAGGTGGTGTTGGTGAAATCAAGGGCCTCATTTAACAGGTCTTGATCATAACACCGCTCCTGGCCCAGACATTCACCAAACATGGCTCCCGCAATGGCAGCTGCAGCTGCAGTGGCCCTTCTGGACTACCACCAGGCACAAGGACTCATGACTTTGATACCGGGGTTGACCTGCACTTATTCAAGGGGTACCCCTTTCGCTACACAACTTCCACGGGCACCAGTGCCAGATCACAGGCTTAGCCCCCAGAAGGAGGCAGCCAGACCACCCATAGGGTACGTCTAAACTACATGGCTCCATCGACGGAGCCATGTAGATAGTTTACATGAAAAAGGGAAATGAAGCTGCGATTTAAATAATCGCCATTTCATTTAAATCAAAATGGCCACCACGCTGTGCCGATCAGCTGATTGTCAGCTCAGTGCAGTAGTCTAGAAGGGGGTCTGCCAACTCCAGAACCCTTCGTCAGCAGATCCTGTAAGCCTCGTTTCACGAGGCATAAAGGATCTGCCGATGAAGGTTTCTGGGGTCGGCCGATCCTTGTCTAGACTACTGTGCTGAGCCGACAATCAGCTGATCGGCACAGCGTGGTGGCCATTTTGATTTAAATGAAGCCGCGATTATTTAAATTGCGGCTTCATTTCCCTTTGCTGTCCTGACTAATCGACATGGCTCTGTCAACGAAGAAAGAGAGAGGTTGCGGTGAGTTAGATGGCAGCTTCAAAACAACCACACGTGACGACATTCAGCAGTGTGGTGAGCCCCTGGCCATCAGGGACTCATCCTCATCGTCCCCTGATGAGGCCTTAGCTGACCTTTTGCTGACCTTACCCACCATGGATGCTAGAACCCACCAAATGTTACTGAAGACACTGGAGCGTATCTTGGAGGCCCAGGCTGACGAGGTTGTGGAGGATGCACATCCCATGGTCAACATCCTCACAGCTGAGGCCCTGGCTAGGGTAGCCCTACCCCCTCAATAAAACAGTGGCTAAAATTTCTAAGACCCTGTGGCAAACTCCCACCGTAGCTGGGACATGAGCATCTGTATGTTCACTCGCCCCCTGGAACCTTGCTGGTTCATGCTGCCAACCACAGAGAAAGGCAGGGCCAGCTGAGACCTACTCCCAAGAGAAAGGACCCTAAAAAGCTACACTTGCTCATATGGAAGGCCTAGGTCACTGGAGGTGCGCAACTAAGGATTGCCAAGCAGCAGGCAATATTTGCCTGCAACTCTTGGGTGGCAATTGAAATAAGAAAGAACAAGACCATTCCATAGGTCAACTCAACTTTTTATTTCAGTAGCTGAAAGGACAAGAGGCCTCCCAGTATCAGCTCAATCTCTATGTTCCTGGATCAGATCATGTAGGTGTGTTATGATCTTGCAGAGACGGGTCCTCCTCTCACCGCATATTCCACTAGGGCGCATGCTTCGTCGACAACCTTTCTAGCGCAAGTGCCCATTCTTGACATTTGTAGGGCTGCCAGTTGGTCATCGGTGCACATGTTTACCTGTCATTATGCTATTGCACAGCACGCCAGGGATGATGCAGCTTTTGGCAGAGTGATGTTGCAGTCCATATCCACGTAGTCTCCAACCCCATCTCCACTGGTAGAGCTAGGAGTCACCTACATGAAATGGACATGAGCAAGCGCTCAAAGAAGAAAAGACGGTGACTTACCTCATAACTATTGTACTTTGAGATGTGTTGCTCACATCCATTCCAAATCCCACCCATCTCAACTTTGTTGGAGATTTCTGACAAGAAGGAACTGAGGGGGCAGAGGGTGAGCAGGGGTATATATGCGCTGATACATAGGCGCCACTCCAGGGGTCTCCCTGGCTGGCTCAACGGGTACTGCTGAGGGAAAAAGCTTCTGACATTGATGCACGTGGCATGTGCACACCTTCATGGAATGGACATGAGCAACACATCTTGAGGAACAAAAGTTATATGAGAGGTAAGTAACTGTTTTTTCTTCTTAGACCTGAAGAGGTTCAGAGTTTGTACTGCTCCCCGCAGGGGGTAGGGTGGGGGAAGGGGAAGAGGGAAGTGATCTGAGCTCTGTGCCTTGGCTGGGGGAGAACAGGAGATCTGGCCCAGCAGGACAGGGTGGTGAGAAGCCCCAGAGATCAAGGAGGTGAGTGTCAGTAGTTTTGTCAGTACAACAGGAAGCACCCCCAAGGGGTCTTGTGTGACTGCACCTGGTCACAGCCACACTGTTTTATTCTAGATTTTTAATGGCTTTGTTTCATACTTTTCAGAGGGGGAGCCGAGTTAGTCTGTAACTGGAGAAACTTAAACAACAAATAATCTAGCAGCACCTTAAAGACTAATAAAACATGTAGATGGTATTATGAGCTTTTGCGGGCACAACCCACTTCTTCAGATGTATGAGTGGGCTGTACTCATGAAATGTCATACCATCTACATGTTTTATAAGAGGAGGGGGTCAGCAAGAGACCAGATCCAGCTTGTCAAGCCACGGCTGCCTCCCTGGGACCCTTAAGCACAGTGCAAGGGCAGCCGATTTGAATGTGGCTGCTCTATTCTTTGTGCTCTGCCCCATCCTTCAGCAAAATCTCTCAGCTCCCATTGTCCAGTTTCTGACCAATAGCAACTGAGATATTTTGCTGAAGGCAGGGGCAACCGATGAAGCCTCCTTTCTCCCTCCCCTTCACCCTGACAGAGCAGAGCCACGTAGAGTAGCTTGCCACTGCAGCCTTCAGGGTCCTGCAGGGCTGCTGGCTGGGAGCCACCTGGGTAAGTGCCTCCCAGCCAGAACCTGCCTCTGGCATCCACACCCTCTCTTCCCCCAATTACCTGCCCTAGGCCATCACCCAAACCCTCTGCACCCCTTTCATTCAGGTCATAATTCCCTCCCAAAACCTGCACCCCCTCCTTCAACCCCTCCCCTAGGCCAGAATCCACTCTGATATCTGTATCCCCTCCCTGACCCTGTATTCCATTCCCCTTCCCCAAGCCATCATCCAAACCCTCTGCACCCCTTTCACTCACATCATAAATCCCTCCCAGACTCTGCACCCTCTCCTAGACTCCCTCCCTCAGGCCAGAATCCTCCGGTGCACCCTCCTGGATTCTACACCCCAAGCCTCCGCCCCAGATCACACCCCCCCTCCTTCACCCAAGCTCCCTCTCAGACGCAAACCCCCTCTTGCATCCTAGGGTACGTCTAGACTACCGCGTTTTGTCGACGGAAGTTTTGTCGACAGATACTGTCGACAAAACTTCCATCGACAAAGAGCGTCCAGACACATTGAGTTCTGTCGACAAAGCAAGCTGCTTTGTTGACAGAACTCCGTAGTCTGGACGCAATGTTACAGGCAATAACACCTTCTGTCGACAGAGTTCTGTCGACAGAAGGTGTTATGCCTCGTAAAATGAGGTATACCAGCGTCGACAAAACTGCTGAGTTCTGTCAACGTTATTTCGACAGAACTCAGCAGTAGTGTAGACGCTGGTATAGTTTTGTCGACAAAAGTCCACTTTTGTCGACAAAACTAGGTAGTCTAGACACACCCCTAGTCTCCTACCCCAAGCTCCATTCTGCACACAACCTCTGTCCCAGACCTGAAACTCACTTGATAGAAGTGTGTCCCTTGAGCACCAAAATCTTGGAGTGCCCCCCCCATTAAAATTATTTCCCATGCCAGTGCTAGACCATTTGTTGTTTTTTACGTTATTTCATACTATTATGAAAAAGAAACAAATTGATAATATACAGGGTTGTGCCTTTACAGTGACTCTCCAAATGTAATGAGGTTCTTGCAGATGTGAATATTAGACCCAAGTAAAACTTTCTTCGCAAAATTCAAATCTTTGTTAAACTCAGTTGATCTTATATTTTATCACTAATTCAGACCAGATTTGTCCGTTGGTTTTGCTGAAACTTGACAAGCCTTTTTAGCATTGAGTGAAATGAATAACATGTGGTTGGATGATGGTTTTGTATTGGCACCGTGTTAAAGCATGTAGCTCTGTGTAGGTTTTGGCACTGATCCACATGGAACTTAGCAGTTTCCTTGACTGAACTGCACATTGAATTCTTTGAGATTTCTTCAGACCTGGAACTGAGGAGGTGCAAACCCAGCAAACCAAAGCACAGAGAGATTTGTTCTCAAAACTTAGCACACATGGTTTAACTGGAATGATACAGAGAAGATTAGCATGACCTCTGTGCAAGGATAACAAGCAAATCTGTGACATGTTTCCCAAGCTTCTGAATTTAGTGCAGTTCTGAGGCTAAGTGATCAGCTATAGTTTTACACATCTCAAAAGAAAGGGTCTCTCAAAGTGGAAGCAAGAGTAAATCACACAGCTACCTTGGTCAGCTGAGAAGCTAAGTATTATTTATTGATTATCAACAAGTTGCTTGACACTTCTTTGTGTGTGGATGTATATGTATGTTCAGGCCCACTGACCAGGGCTAGGGGTTGGGGTGGGGACAGCTGCCCCAGGGTCTGGTGATTCAAAATGACCCAGGGTTCCCAGCTCTCAGCACACTTTATATTGTCACCAGAGCCCTGCACAGCACCCTCCAGGTGGTGCTGAGGGCTAGCCACCCCTTCCCCTTTCTTCTGAGATCCTGTCACTTTCAGGAGCACTGAGCCAACATCCCCCATCCCCCCGCCCCCCATCCCTACCCCAACCTCCTGATAAAATATGGAAGTTGTAGAATGATCTACCCAGGGTTGTCTTCAGAAAATGTCATGAGAGCTGTGGTGTCTGAAAGGGGGAATGCTTTCATACCAAGAGAAGAAATATCGGAGAATTTCACTAACTCCCTTGGCTAATACGAAATTCATCCCAGTGCAGTGAGCCAGTACATGGCCTAACGTGTATCTTAAATCCTCGTTTGAGAGTTTAAATTAAAATGAAGTAGTTTCTGGAGCTGGCCTTCTGCACTGGGATGAATGCTTCCCATTAGAGATTACCAAACTGTTCATGCTAATGAATGCATGACTTTAAACAAAAAGAACAAGCATTATAAAAGGTCAAGATTTTAAAAAGAGATTTCTTCATAGGATAGGCTTTTTCATTTGTCTTGACCAGCATCATTTATATAGCTTCATAATATACTATTCTCATGTAGCATTTGAAAAAGTAATGAAGACAGAGGATTCTTTATTCCAATCTGTCTCACAGTACTGCGTTAGTTCAGGACAGCAATACAGTAAATTCAGAATTCACTGGTGTGGTGTCCTTATAGGTCTCCTGCTCTGTCAGTGATGATGAACATTCAGCTTTGTGTGTTTTCGTATGCTCCCTCAGTATATTGTGCCAGCTCTGTGCAGGTAGCCAGCATGGTAGACTTCTTGAGAGCTCCCAAAGACCCAGACTCAGATAAGATACTAAGGCACCTGAGTTAAGTTTATTTTCGAACAAAGTACATTACTAGGTGTCACATGGCCTCCGAGCCCCTGTGTATTTGTACCCAGGACAATGAGCACAGTTCAATCGATAGCATGGAATTCACTATCCCCCCCCCCCCAGGCCAGCCAAAGAGTTAAGTGAGATACCCCAATATTTATAGATAGAGATATACAATCTAAGATACCCACCGTACGTATCCTCTTATGCATTAATGACACATTTGGTGCCTCTCCTTGTCCTTTCCTCCAAAGCATTCACTGCCCGTTGTTCTGCTTTCACTCTGTTGTTTCAAATTATTTTATTATGTACCCAGGTGGGTGTCCCTGTCTTGTCCTGGTGGCCGGTATTTACAGACTTTGTGTGCTTCTCTCCACTCCAGCAGTTCTGGTGCCAAGACACTGATGTGCAGGCAAACATCTGCTTTTGACATGGTCCATCTATTACTCATAGTATAACTTTTGCTTAGGGTGTGTCTACACTGCAGGGTTTAACTCAAAATAAGCTATGCAAATTGAACTATGTCAGTTCGGTATCTTATTTTGAAATAGCTTCTGTCAAAATTGGGAGCGTCTACACAGCACTTAGTTCAAAATAGAGCACTCTTCCTCCAACTTCCCTTATTCCTTGTACAATGAGGGTTAGAGGAGTCAGGGTACGATGTCCTCCAGCTTGACAGTATTTTGACACTATTTCAAAATAACTGCCTGCTGTGTAGACACAGATTAAGTTATTTCGGAATAGCGCTAGTTATTTTGGAAAAGAGTTGCAGTGTAGACGTACCCTTACTTTGGTTAAAGAACCAAGCCCATGCTTCAGGCTCTTTCTTTCTTCTACAAGTACTGCTCAAGGGACAGGAACTGGCCACAGTGGACCAGCAGAGATTTGTCCTACTGGAGGTCAACTCCATGCTTGGAGCAATTGTGCTGGCTTCAGTGGCTAAAAATGCCATGCCCCCTTGACTCTGGCTAGGGAGAACAATGCTTCACACATCTTTTGCTCATGTAATGGTTCCTACATCACTTGCCAGTCTAGATGCAATTAGAGCTACCTGGAAGAGGCTCTAGAGCATCAAGGCTTTGGGTGGCCTTGAGAATCAGGAAGATATTCTGGCTTCATGACATTTCTCCATGCCCTCACGCTGAGCTGGCCTTTGAAGGAGAGAATGAGCCCTAAGTAATAACATGAGACCTCTCCTACTGCGTTCTGCTAGTAACACGTCCCCGGGGAGAATAGGGAGTGAGAGCACTGGCTGTTTGAATTGTGTTTTTGTCAAGAAACACTAGGGCTACATCTAGACTGGCATGATTTTCCACAAATGCTTTTAACGGAAAAGTTTTTCCGTTAAAAGCATTTGCGGAAAAGAGCATCTAGATTGGCACAGATTCTTTTCCGCAAAAGCACTTTTTGCGGAAAAGCATCCGTGCCAATCTAGATGCGGTTTTGCACAAGAAAGCCCCGATCATCATTTTCGCCATCAGGGCTTTTTTGCGCAAAACAGTTTTCAGCTGTCTACACTGACCTTTTGCACAAAAGCATTTCCGGAAAAGGGCTTTTGCCCGAACGGGAACGTCAAAGCATTTGCTCAAGAAGCACTGATTTTGGACAGTAGAACATCTGTGCTTTTGTAGAAAATCAAGTGGCCAGTGTAGACAGCTGGCAAGTTTTTCCGCAAAAGCGCCTGTTTTTGCAGAAAAACTTGCCAGTCTAGATGCAGCCTAGATATCTAGGGCTAGCTCAGTGAGAGCAAGTGAAGGTTGCACTGATGATATCCACAAAGGCCTCCACTTTAATTTTGTTCACCAATATTTATTGACCAAGTATACAAGGTAGGACTTCAAGCAAAAATTAAGTTGCGAAAGAAATGTAGCAATTCACCCAGCCTTGATTTAACGGTAGCATTCTATCAAGTAAATTGCTATTTTTTTAAGTTTAGCATCCATAAAGTTTAAGCCCATGCTTCACTTTATGGATATCCAAAAGTCCCACTGACTTGGATGGGATTTACATATGTGCAGAAGCTCTTTTCTAACGGGACAGGGAATAGAGCAAGTGCTTAACATTTTTGCTGGGCTCTCTTTTATGACAGGACAGGATGAACTGAGATGGGAATAAGATTTTAATATCAGTGTCTCATCATGCTTGGTTGTTTGTTGTGGAAGTATGAAGTGGAGCTTCAGTAGTTTTGATATAGTAGGTTCATTAAAGTTTCCCCTGAAGGAAAAGTTTAACTAGAAAGTGCTTGAAGTGAGATAAATAAGTAATTCATTTGTAAAACAAGACATGAATAAAACCTTAGAAGTACTGGCGACAATATTGCTTTTCTTTCAGCCATGTGAATATTGATCTGAGAAATGAATGTTTGCATCATCTGCAGCATAAGGAAGGAAATACATATCTGACACTTTCTCTGTTTGACTATGCAAAATAGACACTTATGTGTGTTTGCCTTTGTCTTTCCATTTAAATGACTCATTTTCAGACTGAATAAAATAATGCATTTTTCTAGTTATTTTTATGTATCAAAAGGATGCAAAGTAAATCTGGTATAAACCTGAAATATTGGAGGCAAGCAGCACATCTTTCCTTAAAAAATGGCAATTGAAGAAGCAAATCCTATGATTTAATGCAATCATTTAAAAGGAGGATTCACACTATTTCCTCCCACATACATCTAACCTATCCACTTTTATTTTAAAGAGCTCATTCACACCAGAAAGTTTTGATTGCAAATGATTATGTTGAAGGTATAATAGAGAACCTAAAGCTGAATTTATTCAAAAACAGCATATATATTGAGTGGAGCTAAATCTAATTATGAGGTATGTGTGTGAAAACACCTAACTCACTGTCTTTTAAAGCTTCAGACTTACAGCCCAAGAACAAATAGTTTCCTCTATAAATTGGAAAGACCAGTCAATAGGCAGTACATTTTCAGAAAGCCATCTCTAATTATTTATGTGCTAAATTCCAGATGCATCTATTTGCTCACCAAGTTACCTCATTTGAGCATGCAAGTTAGCATTTACACTCAGATCCAGTGACAAAGTGGGGGATGACCAGCATTTGCCTGTGCAAATGGGTATATACAAAATTGGATTGACACCAGCTGAAAATTAGGTGCTTGGTTTGATTTCCTTTCAAGAAATTCTGTGATCCCTCTTTTTGAAGGTTGCAGTCTTGATACTTTGCAGGATCTGAGTCCTTGTAATTGTGCTATGAGTTTCTTTTTACTAGTGGATATAAACTAAAGCAACTGATTCTGTGTAGCATTGTTCTGCACAGTTTTATTTTAAGCATCTAGTTTTGCTTGAGTCAGTAACAAAGCAAGAAATATAGGTAAGTGAGCAGCCTTGAGGATGCAGGTAATTCAATGTAGAGCTATGTTCTGTTTATTGCTATGCTTGCATGCTAGATGTACTGGTTTTATGGTTTTGTGTGATAATATAAATAGATTAGTGAGTGGAGGAAAGGTTGACATTTTGCAGGCTTGAAAGCTTGGTAAAGAGCCTGTTTTGTAGGAGACTCATGTAAAAGTATTAATGGAAATTTGACTTAGCCAGTTCTAGAGAGGACAGTCATTCTGTCATATTACAGGGAAGTCGTGTAAAACTCATATAGATAATAAAATCTCGTCTCAGCCAGCAGTACAATCAGGCTATCGAAAGACCCAGCTCTGGAAAGCCACTGCTCACAAAACAGAGAGGTGCTTTTTGGTCAGGGATGGGATTTTTGCCATCCTGGTGAAAACCTGTCCAAATCTAGCCAAATTAGAATGAAGCCTTTGAAAAACTGCAGTTTGCACAAGTGCGTTGCAGATTTCTTAGAGTTTAACCACTAAGGGTATGT